TCCATTATGTAGTTGTTAGTATAAATGCAATCCCAATCAGAAGTGCGGGAGGCTTTTTTGTAGAAACTGACACAAACTGAATCTAAATGTATATGGAAATGTGAAGAACCTAGACAGTCCACAAAAAGCATAACTTATAAAAGATAAAATCGATAAACCAGACTATCAAAAAACAAACTATTTGAAAGATTTTTTTTTAAAGATTTCATTTATTAGAGAGCGCGCATGAGCAGGGGGAGGGGCAGAGGAAGAAGCAGACTCCCATCTGAGCAGGGAGCCCATGTGGGGCTCCATCCAGGACTCTGAGATCATGACCTGGGCTGAAGGCAGATGCCCAACCCACTGAGCTACCCAGGTGCCCCAAAAGATGTTGTTTAAAAAAAGAATGCCTAGGAAAAGATATTCCCAGTACTTATTTTGAACAATGGACTTGATCTAGAATATGTAAAGAGCACAGTTGAATAAGACAACTAAATTAAAAAGTGAGCAAAAGATCTCAACATATGTAACCAAGGAAGATAGATGAATTGCCAAACAAACTAAAGAAAAGACTATCATTAGTTATCATCAAAGTGCAAATTAAAACCTCAGCAAGATACTACTTCATACCCACTAGAATGACCAACACTGAAAAGACTGACAGTTGTAGAACAACGGGAACTCTCCTACATTGCTGGCACAAGTGCAGAATGGTAAAACGGATTTGGAAAACGGGTGAACAGTTTCTTACAAAGTTAAAATTAAACCTAGAGTAAGATCCAGCATTTCTATTTCTCAATTACTCTGGAGAGATGAAAAGCTATCCAAGTGCAGAATGTAAGGAGAGGAAGCTGATGGTGGAGAGTACTACTACAATTTTTTTTAACTCATGCCAGTTTCTCTGAAAGCCAGGAGACTGAGCTTTTAATTCAAGGAGACTGCCAGTCACAGAATGGCCAGATAATTCACTTTAAGCTTTTCTAAAATTTTGTCTTGTGAACCTGTGCATTTGTGAAATACCGTCTGGTGCTGTAGACCAGTCTGACCCCTTATATATATGTGTGGAATGTGCTGAGCTGTGTTTAAAGCCAAATTTAGATGTTGATGTTGTTGCAAAGTGACACTCCTTTTATTGTCTTAAGATTTTAAAAGTATAAGGTTTTCAAAATGGAAATGTTTTAAGCAACTGTCAGCTCAAGAAATGAAAGTAACTATAGTTTATATATTACTAGTGAAATTGTTTTGTGATGAATTTAATACTTCTCTCCAGGTGTTCATATATAAATGTTTTAAGTATGCACTTTTGAAAAATAATTGTGACAAGGAAGTTTGTTTAGAAAAGGAAGAAGATGGAAATGTATTTGCATGACATTCCAAGGCGTGTTTGAGACATTTTTAGATTCATATATTTACTTAACAAATATAGAGCTGTGGAGTTGCAAACACCTGCTTGGTTTGAAAGTGCATTTCACGATTATCTAGGTGGAAATAACTTAAGCTGTATATCCTGTCTTATTTCCAAAAATGAGGCAAAAATTATTGCACTTTTAAAAATCATTATTCAACTAAACACGAGGGAGGAGGAAGTCTTGTGAATGTCATTTTCCAAGGTACATGTGAGTGTGAAATTGTATATTTTAAAATTCACAAATTAATGAATAGCTTTACTCTAAATGGGAAGGAGGTCTGAATTTGGAACAAGGAAAGGTGATAAAGTATTATGGATTGTATATTAGGAAGCTTTTTATTTTAAGTATTAAACAGAAAGAACACTTAAGTTAAAAAAAGAATGGGTAGCTGGGTCGCTCAGTTGGTCATGTATCTGCCATTGGCTAAGGTCATGATCTTAGGGTCCTGGGATCGAGACCCACATCAGGCTCTGCACAGTGGGGAGTCTGCTTCTCACTGTCACTCTCCCTCTGTGCTCATCCTCTCTCTCTCTCAAATAAATAAAAAAAAAACTACACCTCCCAATCCAAAATTAATATTTGAAGATGGTTTCTGGAAAACAGTTTCCAAATAAAAAAGAAATTTGCCTGACTTTATATGTAGATAAGAAAATAGAATAAATTGGGCGCCTGGGTGGCTCAGTTGATTAAGTGTCTGCCTTCGGCTCAGGTCATGATCCTGGAGTCCTAGGATCGAGTCCCACATCGGGCTCCCTGCTCAGCAGGGAGTCTGCTTCTCCCTCTGACCCTCCCCCCTCTCATGCTTTCTCTCTCTCATTCTCTCTCAAAATAAATAAAATCTTAAAAAAAAAGAAAATAGAATAAATTAAACCATAGATTTTTTCAACATCAAATTTCCAAATCCAATAAGTTTGAAGTTTTTCTATGTCTGTGTTGCAACAGTGATGAGCATAAAGAATTTTCAGTTTTAAACAAAGGTATATTTGTTTTCATAGATAGAATTGGTTAAAAGAGACGTCATTTCACAATGACGTCTTTTTTTCCATTAAGAAATTTTTTTTATTTGTAATGAAGTATAGTTGACATAGTAGTTTCTGGCTTGCAGCATAGTGATTTGGCAATTATATACATTATGAAATGCTCATCAGGAGAGAAGTGTAGTTACAGTGTGTTACCACACAAAGTTATTACTGTATTATTGACTATATTCCCTATGTTGTGTCTTTTTCATCTTAATGACTTACTTATTTTACAACTGGCACAATGACTTCTTAATGCCTGAGGTCTTTGATCAAGGTGGAATTAAACTTCCTAAATGCAACACTAAATAATGTTCTAAATAATGTTCCTGTTATTGTGAATTTAACCCTTTCCTCTTAGATTCTTCCTGAGAAGGAAGTAAGAGCTTCTGAACCTTCACAGTATTTATCTAGTTCACTGGACAAAGTCAGTACAACACTGCAACTTCTTTGTTTTGGAAGTTTGGGTGAGATGAGGAATGTTCATCCCTGCTTGAAAATAAATCTTCCAGGTTCTGAATTTTAACTATGGCAAGAATGTAAATTTTCTTCCTTCTGATCTTCCTCCTTGAACATAGGCTTAAATCTTAACCTGTCCTTTTTCCTGTAGTATGTTAGGGGACTTGTCCCGTGGACTCAGTAGAATCAGAGTCCCACGTTTGTGACATTAAACGTATATGCATTTATCTTTACTGAAGATTTTCATCCACAAATATAAAGATGACTGTAATTCGTGTCTTACCAGGTTTCCAGTCATGGCTTTGGAGAACACAAAAGGGAGGAGTGTTATTTCACTTAATGTTCAGGGTGTGTGATCTTGTAATGTAGCTGTCTTTTACTGATTTATAGTTGGGATAGCTTATAAATGGACTATATCTTTTTCAGAGATTGATAAATATGTGGTATGTTTGATTACTTGGGACAAAAATGTTAATACACTCTGAGTAATCTCATTAATGCATCTTTGGTCTTTTCATTTCTGGGATGGCTCTTTTCTTCACTGTATCTGCCACCCTACCATGTCTTTTCTGGGAAATATTTCCTACATTTGTTGACTCTGCTTCTTTCCCTTCACTCACTTCTCAACTCTCTCTAATCTGATTTCTGCCCGCACTACTTCAGTGAAACTGATGTAACCAGGACCACCAAGTATTTCTGCCCATTCTGATGGACAGTTCTCTGTCTTGGCTATATCTCATCAGCAGTTAAAACCGTTACCAACTTCCTCTTTGAAACAGGCCCCAGTGACACCACAGTAACTGGTTTTCCTCCTCTCTCTCTCTCTCTCTGTGGTAATAGACAAATATTCTTGGTAGACTTTTCTCCCTCTACCCATAGTTAAATGATCCTATTAGAGTTCTCTCTTAGACCCTCTTGGCTTTTCATGATGCAGCTTTCCTTAGAAATTAGGATTCAGGAGCACTTGGATGGCTCAGTTGGTTGAGTGTCGGTGAGCTTGGGTTTCTCTTTCTCCCTCTCCCCTCTCGCCTGCTTTCTCTCTTTCTCTAAAACAAATAAATCTTAAAAAGAAAAAAGAATTTAGGATTCATGGCTTCATTAATGATCTGCTGGTAATTCCAGGTCTTTTCCTTGGCTTCAGAACTGTACATCCAGAGGTCTAATGGACATCTTTACTTGATGGTTGTACTAGGCTGCAGGTGATAGAAATCCACTTCAGTGTGGCTTCAGGCTAAAAAGAGAGAAACACAGCCTCACAAAAACCAAAGCTCAGGTGCATAGGTCAAACTGGTCTTAGGGATGAGTGGAAGCAGAGATTCATGTCTTCTAGACTTCCTCCTCTCTCTTGTCTGTGCTTGTCAGCATTATTATCTCAGAACAGTCATCTACATGAAGTTTGGAATTTACTTGGCAAAGGCCTTTCTTAAAGTCAACAGCTTGGCAGCCACGAAGAAAGGATAGGTTCACTCTTTGCCCAGCTCCACATAGAAAATAGCCTGACATGGATTCTGAATGACTCAGTTGGTTAGCTACCGGTGAGATATAAAAAATTATTTTTACTGACACTGATTCTGGTGATGGTGGTGGCAGGAATCTAATGTCTTAATTCACAAAATGAAGCCAAAATTAGACCCTGTCCATCTTTCATGTTCAATTTCAACTTCATTGGAGAAGCTGCTAGTTTTATTGATGGTTATTGATGAGTTACAGCTGCTTAATTGTCTAAGAAGAGTTGATTGCTCTACCAGTTACTTCCTGGGTTGTCTTTGAGAATAGAGGTTCAGGTGAGGAAACCTGTATGAAAATGATCAGTATTTCTTCTTGGAATTTCAGACTTTTGTATGGCTATCATACTGTTCTAGTTAGTGATTTAAAAAAAATAAACTTATTAGAATAATTCAGAGTTTTATAGTCATAAAGTAGGATACTCTATGAAGGCAGGGATTTCTTATTTCACTGCCATATTCCTGATACCTGACAAAGTGTTCAGAAAATTCTGTTGAATATCAGTGTATTAAAATTTTAATTTTTTTTAATGCTTTTTGGGGAAATAATTTTAATTTTGTCACAGATTTAAAAAATCATCTAAGGCTAAGTAAAATAACTTGTTTTCTTCTATTTTTCTTCCTTTTAGACTACCTGTTAGACGCCCTGAGTCAAGACAACAATTTTTATACCTTCCTGGTGGTTGAGAAACGAGTATCTGTAGAACGAGAAGCAAAGAAAGGAAAACAGATTGACTTTCTTCATTAAATCGACTGTATAAGATACTTGACTTTCAGGAACAAAAATACAGAGAAGTAATAAAATTATTATTTTTTTTTGGCATCATTGGACATTCAGCATATCAGAGGAGCTTGCTTTTGAAGCTTCCCGAGCTAAGATTTGAAAACTTCACTGGTGCTCATTTATACCGTGGACTATAAGCATGAGTGAATTCTGGTTGTGTTTCAACTGCTGTATTGCAGAACAGCCTCAGCCTGTAAGTATGAAGTAATATGTGTACGGATTGGGTGGGGTGCTTGTTAAACACACCGCTGGTTCTCAAGTTGGGAGTCAGGACCCTAGCAGATCTCAGGAGTGTCAGAAAGGAGTTCATGGAACTCTGAACATCCGGTTAAAAAAAAAAAAAAACTTTTTTGAGTAAATACTGAGTGTCAAGAACTGTGCCTGGCTGAGGAGGTTGTCTCCTCTACCAAGTAGATGGCTTCTAGAGGAACAGTGAGGGGTTGACACCCCGACTTGAGGTAAAACAGTGGAGTCAGCCTTGAAAGTCAGTGGGTAGAAGATGTGGCAGCCAGACTGCTCACATCCTTCTTGACTTACCACTTCTTTTTCCTCTCAGCAAGCATCTGAGGTAGATACCATTACCCTTATTGTTCAGCTGGAATAGATAGAGTTTTTGCTCCAAGTTCTATAGGTAGTAATCGGTCTTAGGTAACATTTGGTGCGTGCCCTACCTTTGTGCTTCTAACTGGTGCACTCACATTGTTGCCTCTTCCCAAATCTTGCCCACCAAGTCAATTTTTTGTTCATCTTTTAAGATGCCCAGATCAAATGTCACTTCTGTATAATCGTCAGCTTTTTCCTGACTTAGTCATTACCTCATGTGTATTCCCACTGGCTCATTACTTTATTTTTCTATTATAGCCTAGAACTTCTTTATGGTAAATAACTTCTACAGTCTCTCCACCACATTTTTAGTTCTTTAGGGGCTCTGACCAGATTTACTTTGTATTTTCAGGATCAAATCTATTATCTTGGAGCATGCAGCTTTACGTGCCAGTTGGTTAGCTGGCTGGCTGGCCCAATGAGTGAATTTATACTGTTTCATTTACATTTGTAAGAACATAAATGGAAGAATGAGGTGTAATCTTGAAGTCTTCTCAGATCTTTTTTGAGCCTTTTCCTGGGCATGTGCAGTCACTTTGTAATTTTCCTCAAGTATGCAGTGTTTTTTTGAACGTACTAGTCTTTCATGTTTGGCTCCCAGAAGGGGAAAAAGTGAGAAATGAAGAGCACTGGAGGGAGAGGAGAAAGGATGCTGGCTTTTAAATCCCCTACAAGTGACCGAACTAGAGGGGGAAGTGCAAAGACTGCCCACCTCCTTTGCTCCTTGATGATGAGAAGCACAGATAATTGAAGGAGGGGTTCATTTTTGCCCATCCTGGCTCTATAAGATGTGTGTAAGCTGCTGTAGGAAACAGCTAGGAGTTGGGGATGGGTAGCTGCTACGGTAGTAAGAGCTGAAATTGACTGAAATTAAATGTAGTTTATCTTCCCCTGGAGGTTGCAAACCTTCAACAGACTCCAGAGTTCTAAAATAGTTCTATCAGACAGATTCTGCCAATGCATTTGTTGTGGTGGGATGCAGAATCCTTGTGCTACTTACTTTGCCATTTCCCCTTTTACAACTTTTATAATTTTGTTTTTTACATTTGGCTCTTTGGTCCATGAAATAGGGAAGATTGTTCTGTGTGGTGTGAGGTAGGGGTCTGTTCTTTCATGCTAATCAGCTACCTACAGTTTATTAAATAATCTTTTTATTAGTGATTTGGAATGTCACTTTTACTGTATGCCATGTTTTCCTCTATTGAAGGGTCCATTCCTGAAGTCTTTTATTTTTTTCATGCATGTGTTTACACTGGTGCCTCCAGCATACTGTTTCAATTGCTGTAGTTACTAAGTAAATTTTTGCTATATCATAGAGGAAATCTCTTTCATAGATCTTTTTTCAACTGTATTGGTAATGTCTTGTTTTGTGAGCTGGTTTGTTCTTCCGTGGTCCCTTATCAGATTTTTCTCTTTATCTTTTTTCTTTATATGAAGTATTTCATAATGCGTATTTTTAATACTATAGGTGTTTACGATTGCATTGTATGTAGAGTGTAATTGAGATTTGATGTCTTCAGAATTCTGAACAATCCCTTTGAGAAACATGGCATATGTTTTCATTTATATAGTTTTTTTCATATTCTTTTAGTAAAGCTCAAAAATTTCATCATTAAAATTATGCACATTTCTTATTAGATTGGTTCTAAATATTTTAGGTTTTTTCCTTACTGTTGTGAATCAAATTCTGTTCTTCAATTACCTTTCCTAATAAAATTTTATTAGTATATAGGAAATTAATATTTATCCACTAATCTTTTAACCAGACATCTTACTGAACAGTTTATATTTTCAAAATACCTTTGTATGGTGACAGGTTATTTTTTTTAGTCTTTTTCTGATGAGTGAATGTCTTATCCTGGTATCTTATGCATTGACTAAGATCTCCAGCATAATGTTGAATAGTGCCAGTGATGTGTGAGAAAGGGAGAAAGGAAATGGGAAAGGTTCTGATTAAAGCATAATATGAGTTTATACTTTAGTGAATGTGTGTTTACCTGTACATTTAAGTTATCGTGTGTAATTTGTTATCAATGATACTACCAAGGATTAAATTTTCACCAGTTTTTAAATTAGGGAATTTTTAAATTCTATTGCCATATTGTTTTAGTATGCCTTGTAATATTTTGTTAAAAGACGTATGGTAACACTGAGTAAAGGAACTAAGGTAAACAGGCCTTTAGCATGAGGTTTTATGTTTATCTGTCTCAGTGTTGGGCCATGTTTACTGAAGCTGTAGGTGTCAGGAGGATAAAATTTCCGCTGGTGTCCTTGTTTTTGTGCCTTGTTTTCTTTGGGTTTACTTGGAGACTTCTTAAATAAGGTCTGAAATGTCTCCTCCTTTCAGTTCTGTTCTCTTCTATAGAAGCATATTGATGTGTTGATAAGGTGTGGGGGGAGAAGCATTATGTACTGTTGTGGTTAGGTTTCAGTTTTCTAGTGAGCCTAAGCCCCCGGGCTGTTACTTCCGGAAGTGCTTTTTAGTGTTTTGTTTTGAACTCCCTGGTTGAAGCAAAAACCTTAGAAGGGACTAGAATTGGGTATTTCTCTTTCTCTATATGGAAGGCTAGGCTGGCTGGCGATTGGATATTTCCCTTCCCTGGAGTTGGTTAGTTTATGGTAAAACCCCAGCCCATTAGCTCTGGTAAAAGAGTGTGTCTTGAGGGTTGGCTTTTTTTGTTTTGTTTTGTTTTTTTTAAAGATTTTATTTATTTGTTAGAGCACAAGCAGGGAGAGTGTCAGGAGAGGGAGAAGTAGGGTCCCTGCCCGGAAGGGAGCCCGAGGCGGGGCTCGATCCCAGGACCATGGGATGGTGACCTGAGCTGAAGGCAGACACTTAACTGACTGAGCCACCCAGGCGCCCCAAGGGTGGCTTTGTTGAGAAGAACAGAATACCCTTCCTTACTGAAGAATGTCTGTTTTTCCTTTTTCTTTGCCAAAGCACAAGGAGGTGTTACTCTGATCTTCATTTGAGAATATGGTGGAGTTCTTGGAGGTAAAACTAAGACTGGGCCCCCCTGCGGTTTTTAACTCTCAAACTCCTATACATTCCTCTTCTACTAGTTCATCAGATACAGTTTACATTTTCCTACACTGGTCCTGGATACCTGGAAGTTTCTCATCTTGGGTTTCTGCTCCGATAAGTTGTGATTTTCTTTATCTGTCTGGTTTTGGGAGCAGTGGTTCTCTCTGTGATCTCAGTTCTCTAATGGATCTGAGAAGAGTTGGTGGTTTTCAGTTAGTTCAGCTTTTTTCTTGTGTGTGGATGTTCCCATGAAACTACAAAGTCCTTATGTGCCACACCGGAAACCAGAAGTCAGTATTGTATTGTATTTTATTTTTTTTTAAAGATCGATTGCTTTATTTTAGAGAAAGCACATGAGAGAGCACGCGCGCGCGTGTGTATATGTGTGTGTGTGTGTGTGTGAGAGAGAGAGAGAGAGAGAGAGAGAGAGAGCAGGGGAGGGGCAGAGGGAAAGGGAGATAGAATCCCAGGCAGACTCCCCGCTGAGCACAGAGCCCAACACAGGGCTCCATCTCACAACCCTGAGATTATGACCTGAGCCAAAACTAAGAGTCAGATGTTCAACCAACTGAGCCACCCGGGTGCCCCAATATTGCTGCATTTTTTAAGATTGATTTTTTTCATTGCCAGTATTCATAATGTATATAATAAAGTGAGTCCTGGTGCAGTATGGGATGTAGGTATAGTCACCAATAGCTAAAATAGGAAAACATAGATTAGGAGTGTAAACAACAGGAGCAGAAGGCCTGGAATTACAAATATGAGACTTTAGAAATACATTTTCTGCTGCACAAAGGATTCACAATTGGAGTTTTTTGTATACATATGTCAGTATTGTGTTATTGTTCAATAATACATAATTGTGTGAAATACTCCATAAGAATTCAATGGGCTGTGATTTTTTTTATTCTTTTTGGCCTGCTGAGAAAAATAACACAAAACTTAACAGGGCCATGTGGTTATTATAGTACAGGAATAGCTTGCTTACTGGCATCAGAAAAACATTTTAAGGGTGCACTAATAATTTTATGTATGTTTACAGTTTACAAAAACAGATCCTTGCAGTTCTATGAGACAGTATCAGGAGTGCCTTTTTTGAAAGCTGCTTGGTCATCTCTAAAGTTTTCTGAAGTATTTACTGAAATGAAAGTGCTGCACGCCAACTCTCCCACTCGTTCTTTGCCACCCCTGCTCTTGCACATTCCATGTATGAAGAAGAAACAACCCAATATGGGAAGAAAACAGAATGCATTTTTCTGTGTAGTGGCATAAGAATCATACTTTTTCTTCCTACTCCTTCAATTTAGCACAGCACAGTACAAAGTATAATAGAGTCCCAATTTTTTTGAGCCTTGGCAATCCAAACTTTTCAAGTTAACTGTAGTTTATAAATGCTGTAGTTGCTGTTGTTAATTATAGCTCAAGTTATAAATTTAAAAGTGGGTGGTTGCTGCCTTGCGATTTAATTTTTTTTAAAACTGAAAAGATCTGTCAGTTCTTTATAGGTTTGTAGTGATTCTTTGCCTACTTATTGTTGTACATTGGAGTACTGGTGGACTTTTATT